AGAATTGATGCCTTTGAGCTGTGGTGCTGGAGAAGAGTACTGAATGTACCATGGACTGCCAAGGAAACAAACAGATTCATCCTGGAGAGGGTTAAACCAGGCTACTCCTTGGAGCAAGGATTCTGGGGCTTCGTCTGACATACTCTGGACATGTTGTAAGGAGAGACAGGTCTTTAGAGAGGGACATCATGCTGGGTAGAGTAGAGGGACAGCGCAGGAGGGGAAGACCCTCTATGAGGTGGATTGATTCAGTGACTGGGGTAATCGGGATGGGTGTGTCAAAGGCAATGCGATTGGCACAGGATAGAGCAGGGTTTAGGGCTGTTGTACATAGGGTCACTATGAGTTGCAAATGACTCGACGGCACATAACAACAACAACATCAAAGGCCAAGGAAGATGTCTGGATGCGGTAAGCAAAGGCCCTCTAGTGGGGAATCCCTTGGACTGATCAAAGTCTAGGATACAGTTTGTCTTAACGTTGGGATTTGTCAGTTTAAGCAGAGTTTCTCCAACACCAGGAAGATTATCTAAGCCCACACCAGACTGACTTTTCAGTGACTGTGCTAATGTATCAAGTTCACAAGCAGCGGTATTGACTTGAGAAGTCACTGAAGCCACTTCTTAGAGACCACACGAATAAATCAGATGGTTGGCAATGAGCAGCCTTTGGAGAGGGAGGGGATGCCTCCGTTCAGCTGGCTCGTGTAGTGAATACGTTTCCAAGGAATTCATGTCAACAGCCTGAGATCCTTTTTCCTGAGCACGTTCCATGCTAAGGACTGTGCTTCTTGTTTGAGTTTATAGCATTTTTGCCTTTCATTCTTAAAACAATGCGGTTCCTCTCCCACTTTGGAGCTAGGAAATCTTTATTTAGATGAGTCAGTGTGCTGATGATGGTGGCACGTTTCTTAGTCTTCACCCTCTGAGGATGATGCCCGTGTGGAGACAGAAAGGCATCACCCAGCATGACCATCTTCTAGACTCCATACCAATCACTCATTGATTTGTGTGTCCCCTGCAGTCAGATTGCTTTGCGTTTGGTGAGCCGCTTCCTTTTACACTGTTCCTGGGGACTGGACCTGGTGTGTTCACAAGATCGACCATGTGAAGAGGCTGCCATCAGCTACACTCCTTGACTCTTCTCTGACCTTCCTTCCCTCCTCTCCTTGTCTGTCCTTTCCAATAGTGAAACAGACACAGAGCTGACCACTGAGCCCAGTTGGCTTTCCAAGGCTGTACATTGTACAGGAGAAGATTGTGCATCTGTCTCTCAAGAAGCCACAGGCAGGTTCAGACCTCTAAAGCCTTTAGGTGAACTGCATTGCCGCCTACAGCCTGCACCACCAGAGCGCCCTGTGGTCGATCAATTCCTACGTGTTGTAACCCTTCCTCAGTTTCCCAAAGCCGGGTATCTTTACAAGAGGAGACAGTCCATCTTCCTCCCATGGAGTGGTTGGTGAATGTAAACGACTAACCTTTTGGTTATCAGCCTAACACATCACTCACCAGGCCACCAGGGCTCTGCCTTGAAAGCACAGTGGAGGGTTCTGATGAGTTGGAATCTACTTGACAGCAGGGAATTTTTGGTACAGCCCAAAGAGGAACTCTGGTGTCATGTGGTTCTGTTGTTCTGTACTGTGGAGTCAAAACCTACCCATAGCAGACTCTCCAGTGGGTTTTCAGAGACAGTTAATTGCACAGAAGAAAATTACTCATTCTCCCATGGAGTGGCTGGTTGGCCTCAAACCGTGTGCCTTTGGGGTTGGAGCACAGCTTCTGGCCACTATGCCTCCAGAGCTCTCTGGTGGTACAGGCCTTTAAAACAGCAAGCCAGTGTGGAGATGGTTTAATCTGTCCTTTGCTAACTCCACAAATGGGAATTGTACCCATCAACAACACTCACAGTACAAAACTATCTCCTCTGAGGTCAGACAAGGCCCTCCCATGCTCCTGCACCCTATTCTACTAATTCCAATCTTACTGCTATTCTGGTTAAAAAACCCATTGTGATAGCTTATAGACCATACAGAACCATGCTCACGATTATGGAGTTCATTAGGGAAGCTAACAGGATACATTTCTCAGTCAGGACAGCTTCCAAAATGTGCTCACAGACCCTTCGGCCCTCTGTTTATGGCTTTGGGACAGTGTTAAAAAGCTCTATTAGTCCTACCAACTATGGCATCTCCCCCACCCGTCTCAGTCCTCCAACAAACTCAGACAAAGGATCCTAGCTCTCCATTAAAGACAGGGTCCACATGCACACAGCCATGCCTCATCTCGATCAACTTCACACACGGGAACTGTCCCCATCAACAGTATCAGTAACACAAAACCTCCCATGCTCTCATGATTCCTCGAGGTGCCAGTCACAGGGTCAGCTCTGGTTCTCTGCTGCAGCTCCTGTAGGTCCCAATCTGGGTGGTGCAGGGAGTTTTGGTCCCCAAAGATGTGCACTGTCCATGTGTTCTGCTACCTTGCTGGTGGTAAGATTCCCAAGTACGGCTGCTGCATCTCCTGAATTTAATGGAAGGACTGGCCAGTCCGCTTGTGGGTGGACTAACACATCTAGTTGCACATTCCTGCCCATACACATGGTAGAGTCACAGTCAACGGCCAGGAAAATTAACCCTCGAGATCACAGTCCACACATGTTCTACCACTAACAGGCTGAGCGTCCTCTGCAGTTCAAGGTCACCAGCTGTGCTTCAGGAAGGTCTCCTCCCGTAAGAATCCACAGCCTCAGAACCTGATGGAGGGTTGCTGTGTATTGGCAGTGGCCCTATGGCAGGGCGTTTGAGTTTTAACTCTCATCCTAACAGAGCCCTGGTGGCACCATAGTTAAGTAATCAGTTGCTAAGTTCAGCAGTTCAAACCCACCAGCCACTCCACAGGGAAAAGGCCTGTTCTTAGGCCCAGGCAGATTCCAGCCTGTGCTGTGGGGAAGTTCTCTTGTGTCTCTTGGTTCATGGTGAGTGGAAATCAACTTGACACACAACCAGCACTTCATTTAGTGGGAGTACTGGTGGGAGTGCCCTGGCCCTGGGGGCATATTGGGTTACCTGTTGTTCTGTTAACTCTGAGTTCAAACCTACAAGCTTCTGTAAGGGGAAAGATGGCTGTCTGCTCCTGTTCAGATCTTTGGCTTCTAAAGCCAGAAGTAGGAATTTACTCAGCAGTCAATGGGTTTGGTTTTATGAGGTGACTAGTTCCCAGTTTTTCTCTTCATGAGATTGATCTACAGAATCAAAATGTAAGCACCAATCTGGAACAAGATTGTCGTGCATTGTGCATTGCATCGTGGACTGTGGGAGAGAGAGGGTGAGGGAGGAGGGAACTGGACAGCAGGGAATGAATGAAAACCCAGGCTTTCTGTAAAATTTCTTTAAAAATCACTGTTTTGTAAAAATGACAAGACCTAAGCATCAGTTTGGAACAAAATCTCTCATCTCTTCATGTGCTCCTCTTGTGCCGGCAGCGAGCCTGAGGAACTGAGTGGAACTGCCCCCCCAGGGTCACTGAGGCTAGAAATCCTGGCCAGGCGTTTTCACTCAGAGTGGCTGGTGAATTTGAACTGCTGACTTTTCAGGTAGCAGCTAAGCAGTTGAACAACTATGCCGACCACCAAGTCTCCCTCTTGCTCTCCCTTCTTGGCCAGAGGCCTGCAAGGCTGGTAGCCTGACAGCAGTTTCCCCCCAAAGTACCTGAACAACCCAGGAGGAAGCCTATTGCTCCCTTCTGGAAGTGGCTCTCACCTCCGTCGAGGTGCCCAGGACCTCCCTGTTGTCTGAGTTAAGAGTTCCTACATGGTCAAGCTAGACAGCAGTTTTTTCCCCAAATAACTGTGGGAGCAGCGCAGGCAGAGCAGTCCCACTTCTTGTCAGGTATGGGTTTTAGTAGGAAAGTAAGCTGGAGAGTGGGGGAGGCAAGGAATATCACCCACTGTGAGTCCAGGTTTTAGGCCAAGTTCCAAGGCACAGTTCCTCAGTTAGTCCAGGCTCAGGTTTCAGTTTAGCGGTCAAACCCAAATCATCCAGCAACGTTTGCCTCAGAGCAGGTCTAAGTCAGCTTCTCCTTCAGTCTATCCAGCAAGAACAGCAAAACCATTTATCTTTGGCCTTTATCTCAGGACTCCTCTGTTTACATCTTGCCACAGTTTCTCCACAGCAATGCCACAGTCTCTACCACCATCCCGTGGGTCTCCCTCAGTTCTTGCTGCCACAATTCTTGTTTGCCTCTAGTCTTGCCACCTGGTGTGGGAAGTGCTTTTTCCCTTCTCCTAGTCCCACAGCTGTTGCTGATTCATAAGACCGTGTGTCTGCAGTTAAAGTAGCTGGAGACCAGCAGGGGCTCACTGTAATGGGTAAAAAAATAAAAGGTCAGCTTTTATGCTAACATCACAGTACCTGAATACATACCTAGCTCGTGGGGAAAGCGCCATCTCCTGTGGTTTACAGCTACTGAAGGGTCAGTGCTGAGTCAGTTCCCACTTCACGGCACACGATAAAAACCAGCTTCCTGACTCACCTCCTGGCATAAAGTAGACCTCCTCACTTTACTTTGAGTTGCCCGTTGTTTTGCTCTTGCTCCCTTGTGAAATGCACATATGCAGCCGTAATATGCAACCCCAAATTCCTTTCTGATCAGCTCACGTGAAGAATTGTAAGCAAAGCTGCACTCTGAGGAGGGCACCCAAGTGGTGTAGCCTGTTAGGGTACCGAGCTGCTCTTCAGGAGGGAGGAGGGACAGACTGCTTCTGCAAGGGGGTGGCCTCAGAACTGCTGGGTCAGCCCCACTGTGCCCTCCAGGGTCGCAGCACCCACCAGGGAGCTTGCTTTGGTGCACAAAGATGATTCTTGGATGTCTTACAGATTGTCTGAGAGGGTGAATCAGAAACGAAAGGGAGGTGTGAGCTGCTTCGGGGGAGGTTGTCCCACGGTGGGTGGGTAGTAGCAGGGCCCGTTTGACAGGCCACCTTTGATGGTGTCCCCCTTGCAGGAGGATCTCACTGGCCACCCCACGGCAGCTGTACAAGTCATCCAACATGACACAGCGCTGGCAGCGCCGGGAGATCTCCAACTTCGAGTACCTGATGTTCCTCAACACCATAGCAGGTAGGGTTGCTCCCCCACCCACGTGTAGCATCTGTGTGTCATATTCCTTCGCGACGTGACTTGTGTGGACACACTTTTTCTGTGGGCCCCAATTTGGTGCCCAGAATTGGAGCTGTTCACACTGTCCCCACCTGGAGCTCACCCTAACTTGTGCAGGTGTTTGCTGGTACGAAGCCTTGAGTTTGCTCGAGGCAGCAGCCCCTCGGGAGTGTGGAAAGCCGAGTGTGCAGTGAGATCTCACCCTGCAGCCTCAGCTCATGTGTGCTCACAGCCGTGCTGACCAGCCTGGTCAGAGCCCCCTGAGGACAGATGACAGTGTGAGATGAGATCCCACCCAGGCACCCATGGTGTCGGTTAGCAGCAGGACACAGCTTTGTTTCTGCCACGTGCGCATGGTCAGAGGTTACCTACACTTTTCTAGACTTGCATACAGGGCTCAACTGCCCTCCCAGAGTTCACTTTACACCACTCCACTTCTGCCAATGACCTTGGTACCTGTATCACCAGAGGAAGACACCCAGAGAGCATGCTGCCTTTACGACAGCCAAGGCCCTTGGTGTTTGTTCTGCCGTGAGCCGGCAGGGAGGCAGACCCCTGAGACAAGCGAGCTGGCCAGGACCACGCGGCCTCAGGCTGTGGTCACTTCCGGTCACATGGCCTCAGGCAGCAGTCACTTCGGTGTGCCTGTGAATGCATGTCTACCTGGCAGTTACGGCTTCAGCCACTGGTGCTCTAGGGAATCAGTCCAAGTTCACCCATTCCTTATTCACTCACAGAGAGGGCCCAGAGCAGGTCATTGGAAGGACAGCAGCAGTGTCCGAACCTGGAGGGTGTTCCTCTCAGACGCCCAAACGTAACAACAATAACAACAACAACAACACCACACACACACACACACACACACACACACACACACACACGCTGTTGTTTTTAAGTGCCATCGAGTTGCTTGCAACCCATCGTGACCTGGTGAACAACAGCTCTGAACCCTGCTCTATCCTGAGCCAGGCTCATCATCTTGAACACTCCCACCCCAAATATCCCAGTCACTAAGGCCATCTTATCCAGGGTCTTCCTCTCCTTCGCTGTCCCTCCAACCTCCCAAGCATGGCATCCCTCTCCGAGGACTAGTCCTTCCTTGCAGCGTGTCCAAAGTATGTCAGATGGAGCTTCAGAATCCTTGTCTCCAAGGAGCAGCCTCGTTTCACCCTCTCCAGTATGAATCTATTTGTTCTCCTAGCTGTCCATGGTACGTTCAATACTCTTCTTAAGCACCACAGCTCAAAGGCATCAATTCTTCTTCTATCATCCCTAGTCATTGTCCAACTTTATGATGCATAACAAGTAATTGTGAAGATCATGGCCTGGATCAGGAGCACCTTAGTCTCCAGACTGACAGTGTTGCTCTTAAGTACTCTGGAAAGGTCCCTGACAGCAGACTTTCCCAATGCAGTTAGTTTTGTTTTATTTCCAGGCTGCTGCTACCAAGTGTGTTGACTGTGGAGCCAAGAAAACTGAAGCTGTTAACAATCTCAAACTCTTTACATATATATATATATATATGTATATGTACATATATATACATAAATATATGCAGATAGATGAACCTGAATATTTCTACTCATTCAGAAGAAATTATCACTATCATTTATGAAAGGGATGGCTTTTGTGAACAGATTAAGTACACACTGTTCTGTCTGTCATAATTTTAAAGGTTTCCTCCAGCCCACCTTCTGTCCCCTGTGAGGACCCCCCAGGCCCCCTTCAACCATACTGTCCCCTGTGAAGACCCCCTAGGCCCCCTTCCACCACACTGTCCCCTGTGAAGACCCCTCAGGCCCCCTTCCACCACACTGTCCCCTGTGAAGACCCCCCCAGACCCACTTCCACCACACTGTCCCCTGTGAGGACCCCCCCAGGCCCCCTTCA